GAGAATTGGTGCATTAGCGAACACTTACTATGCAGAATGCCTTCACCTAGACTTACTTGAAGGTGTTATTTCCATGGCTTGGTAATCATCATGTCTATATTAATATTCCTGGTATTTATTACTTTGTTTAAGTTTTTGCATGTGGCTTGGTTACTTTGAGCTATATAATTAAATATATAATATTTGAATATCTATTACTTTTTACCTATGGCAGCGCAATTTGGTTACAAGACTCCATGTGCCTCACTCTTGTGATAATAATAAGCTTTTTTAAAAAAATATCCAGGGAAAAGTGAATCTCTTGTAATTCTACATTACTGTGCTGAGAAGTGTGATGCACTTGTAAAGGCTATTTATTCATCAGTTGTTATATATATATATATATATATATAATATCTAGGAGAGGCTAATGAGATAACGTGTTTTCATTTTTTTTTCATTTTCTTCATGTGATTGTTCACACACACAACTATTGTGAAGTTCTCAAACATGATAAATTGTAGTGCTCTAGAGTTTAGGTATGGGGTATTAAAAAGTTCTCATGGGTGATAAGATGTAGCTCTCCATGGGATGTTAAGTGGACAATGTAAAGATAATGTTTTATTGAATTCAACATTATAACTATTGGTATCCTTATTATAAATATAGGATATATTATCATTTTGAAATTATGATCTTATAACAGGGTCTCATAAATTTATTATTATATTTGAGATGAGGACTCTGTAACTCAGGACAGTTTCAATGTTAAATATTCTATCTAGTCTTCAATATGGTATTATATGTATAGATTTCATTTTGTTATTATATTGCATATATGCATTAATTCTCCTCAACCATTCAAAACCAAAATAATTCTCCAACATTGGAAAACTAATTAAGTCATTAAAAGTGCCTTTCAAATCAAGACTTTGAAAAATTTTGTTGCATTTGAATTATTTTTTAATAATTCATTATTCAGTTGGAAAAGGCAGTTCTCCATTTTCATGAGCAAGAAAAAAATTGTTATCAGACACAATAAAATGGCATAAATTGATTGGCCCCATTTTATTATATCAACTATTCAAAGTAAATAATGATTATCAAGATTGGACCCAATATTAAATTATTTATATTTAATATCATAATAGTATATTTAATTTATATATAAAATGTTGATCTTACATTTTTATTAGTAAAAGATTCTTGAGAAATTCTTATATGGACTAATTTTTCCTTCAATTTGTAAGATTTCAAAAATAATCAACACTTGATGCATGGATTAATTGATTTTATTACATCAATATTTTTACATAAATAGTAATAAGATAGGACAAAGATTTAAATTTTAACAAATTTAATGATTATTTTTATTTTGTAAATATAATGCAAATGTTCTAGGATATGGTAATTTATAGTGTCATTCCACTAAATGCATTATGAGCATTTATTATATGATACTGCCGCACTAATATGGGCATGCCCGAAGGATTATAGTCTCTAGATATTATTAGTGCGTTTCAAATTTCAACTCGAATAAATTTTTAAAAAAATTAGGTTTAGAAGAGTGGATTTTTTTCACTCAACCCAACAAAAATATGGTCAAAATATATAACACATATTCATATTAAATATGAATTAATCTTATAGAAGTTGATTCATTTTGTACTCAAAGACTACATTATATGTTTAAGTATATTGTTATAGATATCTATATTTACATGAAATTAGGGTATGCAAGCACATGTGTCATCATATTAGTAAGACACATCAACCGCACATTTTTCTCTCATTTTGACACTCAAATGATCAACTCATTATTTTCTTAATATTGCTAACATAATTTATAATAACTCGACTGAATCAATTTTAAATGTGCTATTATTGAAGGGATTCAATTAATGCCTTTTTTTGGAGATCTTTCCTCTTTTGTTATTTAATGTACACAAACTCACATATAATCTCATTGTACATTGAAAATAAATTATGTTCCCAAAAAATTGTAATTTAGGCCATGTCAAATGGGTTAATTACTTGAAGGATTTGAATATGGTGATTGACCTAAGTCCACTCATTCAATAAGTGTCTTATTTGACATGATAACAACCGTTCAATTTAATTAAACGGTTATAAGATATTTGTCATATAATTAGAAAGTACCAAATTTTAAATTTTTAAAATATTTAAGAATATTTGTTTCTATGATAATTGTTAAGGGATTCAACTAAAAATAAAATAATATGAGAGTTACAATTTTGTCTTCATTATATGCTTTGACATAATCAAGTAATTAAAATTTTATAATTAATTTCAAATGAATATATGAAAAAATACATAAGAGAATACGTTGATCGGCCATTGTCAATTAGAGCTGATAATTCAAACTAAATTTAATAAGTGCCTAAATAAATTTGAAAAACTTTAAGGTCGAGATTAGGAGTGAAAAATTCACTTTACTTTGGGTTTATTAGGGCCAAAGTTGAATGGACTTAGCCTAAATATTTGAATTATTTTTCAATTATTATTAAAATAAAATTAAGCTTCATTTTAACTTTTACTTGACATTCAGGTACTCTCAGACTTTTAATTCTCACATTTCATGCTCCTAAATGAAGTTTTAATGTTTTAATAATTATTTTTTAAATATTTTTTTAAAATATTAAGGAAAACTAAACATAAGAGGTTGCTTTATATATAGGAGAATACATTGATTGGCTATTGTCAATTAAAGCTAATAATTCAAATCAAACTTGATAAGTCAGCTTAAATAAATTTGAAAAACTTTAAGCTTGGATTAGGAGTGGAAAATTCACTTTACTTTGGGCTTATTTGGGCCAAAGTTGATGGACTTAGTCCAAATATCTAAATTTTTTAATTATTATTAAAATAAAATTAACGTTTATTTCAACTTTACTTAACATTTAGATACTCTCTCTTAGACTTTTAATTCTTACATTTCGTACTCCTAAATGAAGTTTTAATGTCCTAATAATTATTTGTTTTGAATATTTTTTAAAAATATTAAGGAAAAATAAACACAAGTTGATTCTTTCATTGCTTGATCTCATTTTAATGATGATAGAAAAAGGTTCATTGTAATGTTATGTTACTTGAAAGATCTCAATTTTTTAGATAAGAATTGAATTTGGATCATAACAACAATTAGAATAAAACAATATTATTTAATTTGTAAATGCAACTATATATAAATATTTTTTCCTAAATGGTTTACATTGTTTATAGTTTAAGACAATTAAAAATGAAATAAATAATTAAAATACTGCATACTAATTAAATAAAAGTAGTATATGGTAATTTATAGTGTCATTATTAAATGTGTTATAATAAGCATTAATTATATGAAACTATCTCACTAATATCGGCAAAATCAATTGCATATTTGAAGGATATTATTTTTTAGAGATAATATTAGTGCAATCCAACTTTTAACTTGAATAAGCTTGAAATTTTTTTAAATAAGCTTGAAATTTTTTTAAGGTTGAGCTGAGAAAGATTTATTTTTTTCACTCAAACCCGAAAAAAATAATAACAAGATATATGACACATTCATACTAAATATTAATTAATCTCTTAAAACTTAATCCATTTTGTACTCACAGACTACACATATATTTGTTTGCATTGTTATGGATATTTTCTTAAAAAATTAAGAAGATTCACATTGTTATATTAAATTAAGATATGTGGATGGCATGAATAATGAAGCACAAAAGACATAGTCAATGTAGTTGATAAAAAACCTGTTGATTTGTGAGATGAGGTGACAAAAATTATTATGCATTGTAAAAACAAATTGAAAATGTCTAGAATCTTTCTATCTCTTCTTTGAATTTAACTATGATAATTTTTATGGAGTTTTTCAATTTTATCTTGATCTCAATGGGAGGAGCATGATACGAGATAAAAAATTAGTCTTTATCATTTTTTGTGATTGGACACGAGATAGGATTGAATCTATCCTGTCCTTGTGAATACCCTTGCTATCCACATCACTACTTATATCAAGTAAGTACTATACTTCATCTTAGACTTTAAGAAAATTCATATTGTTATGTTAGGAAAATTCATTTTTTTCCTACCAAAATATATATATATATATATATATGGATGGCATGAATGATGAAGCAGATGGGACATGATCAATTTAGTTAATAAAAAATGCATGTTGATTTGTGAGATGATGTGATATAAATTATATGTATTGTAAAACAAATTGAAAATGTCTAGAGTTTTTTTTATCATTTTTTAAATTTAACCATAATATTTTTTGCAAGATTTTTCTATCTTGTCCCGATCTCAAATGGGAAGAACATGATATGTGATAAAAATTCAGTTTTTATCATTTTTCATGATTAGACACTGGATGTGGTTGAAATAATCCTGTCCTATGAATACCCATACAATCCACTTCATTACTTATATCAATTAGGTAATATACATAATCTTGAACTTTAATTTAAAAGGATTAAAAAAATCATGAGAGTTAGGAAATACATTTCAATGTGTTTATACATACTGTATTGTAAATAGATTAGATGATAGTAAATGACATTTGATAAGTTTTTTTTATATGATTATTTGATTGGATCAAATTTAAATATTGTTAGGGTCAATTGAGATAACTCTTTTAAAGACATTTTATATGTTCACACATACTTGAACTTAAGACTTCATTTTTAAATGGTTATATTACCCTTTCTACTAGGAATAATGCCTATGTTAGTATATAAAAAAATACTAAGCATATGAGTAATGAATAAATAAATAAAAATTTTACATAATTTAAACATCTTTGTAAAAGCTAGTAAAAAAAAATAATCTTTGTAAAAGAAATCAATAAAAGTACCTCTTCCACATTTATCTGTGAATCTATCCGGAAGTGATATTGTGCGACGTGGTCCAATGACTGAACGCCTTTCCCCTCAAACAGCGATACAATGCATTTGCATTGTAAGAAGAGCTTGCCTTGTTAACTAACATATATAGACTCTCATGGCTTAAAGCCCTGCCACGCAAATGCTTCTTCTTCCTCTTCTCTCTTCTATTGCTTTCCACTTACGCTTTTTATATATTGACCGCTCTTCCTCGTCATTTTTTCTCCACTCTCGCTTGTTCATCTTCCCCCATTTTCACTCACCACTCATCACCACTTCTTTCTGTCTCGCAACGCACTTGGTTCTTTCTCTGTTTCTGTTCATTAAGTGGGGTTTCCACTCTCCTTTCTCTTCTGTGTTTCTCTTGTTTCTACCTTCATTTCTGTTTTTGTCATCTTCAAGAGCTCTCTGGTCGTGCTTGTTCTGCTAAATTTTGTGATGGCTCTCTCTGCATTCTCATTTCCCCAAAGATCGTTTCTGCGTTCGACTCACTCTCAATGCGGAGCAGATCTGTTCTCGCAGTCTCTACACAGGCACATCCAGGTTTGTCGATTTCTATGTTTAACCTCTTGCTAGGTTCATTACGGATGAAGTCACTCGTTAGTGCATCAATGGAGGAATAAGAGTTGGAATTTGGCCTGTTTCTTTCTCGCTTCAATTTCTGTTTTGGATTCTGATTTTGAATAATCTGGCTCGGTCTTCTTCTGTTCCTTTTGATTTATGTAATTTCACCCATCATTTTATTTTTTCTCGAGTGTGGAATTTGAGATGTGACTTGGCTATTGAAAGAAACGGGTTTTTGTCCTGATTCAATATGTATAGGTCAGGAAAAGGCCAGCTCGGGTTTATGCATCACTATCAGAAAGAGAAGAGTATGCTTCCCAGAGACCACCGACTCCACTACTGGACACCATAAACTATCCAATCCATATGAAAAATCTCTCTACCAAGGTATGTCAATTGAAAAAAAAAAAAATGAAAGCATGTGGGAAAACTGAGAGTTATTTGCTTTACAAGCAAACTATTTTTTTTCCTTTTGAATTATAATCTCAATATTGATACAGGAGCTTAAACAACTAGCTGATGAGCTGCGTTCTGATGTTATTTTCAACGTTTCTAAAACTGGGGGCCATCTGGGTTCAAGCCTCGGTGTTGTAGAGCTCACTGTTGCTCTCCACTATGTCTTCAATGCCCCACGAGACAAAATCTTGTGGGATGTTGGCCATCAGGTTGGGTTTGATATAGTTTGGCTGCTTTTCTTGGTGGTGATGATGATGATGGCCTTTGTTCTGAATAAGATGGTTTTGTGAAACTTTGCAGTCTTATCCACATAAGATACTTACTGGTAGGAGGGATAAGATGCACACGATGAGGCAGACCAACGGGTTATCTGGGTTTACTAAACGTTCTGAGAGTGAATATGATTGTTTTGGCACTGGTCACAGCTCAACTACTATATCAGCAGGACTAGGTAGCCCTCTCTCTGCTATGAGTTTGGAAGCTTTTGCGTCTTCTTTTTTCCGCCATAAGTTGAAGACTCATGAACTCAAACAGTATATTTGTTTTGGAATCAAAATATCGTATGAGCTCTATTGTTCCGGTTTATAGCATGTATATATCAATGGAAGGTTGTGCTTATCATGGTTACGGAATTAGATCGGTTCTAAGTTTCCTGAAACATTTAGAAATATTGCTTTCTGCTGAACAGAGGAAAGCAGTCATACTTTTTTGTATTTATCTAGTGTAGTGAAAATTTTTTATTCTACAATTCAATTCAACTCTCATGTCTAGGTGTCTCCTGGATGTAATATGCGATTACTGATACAGGTCCAGAACTTGAAATTACAATTATACTTCGATCATCAATTTGCTGCAATTCCTCTATCTCTTTGTGGTTTGGCTTTATGAATTCTCATTAATCAATCAGGAATGGCTGTTGGGAGGGACCTGAAGGGAGGGAAAAATGACGTGGTTGCTGTAATAGGTGATGGTGCCATGACAGCGGGTCAAGCCTATGAAGCCATGAACAATGCTGGATATCTTGATTCTGACATGATTGTTATTCTAAATGACAACAAACAGGTCTCTCTACCAACTGCTACTCTTGACGGGCCCATACCACCAGTCGGGGCTTTAAGTAGTGCTCTCAGTAGGTTGCAGTCAAACAGGCCTCTTAGAGAATTGAGAGAAGTTGCCAAGGTGAGTACTAGAGTTTGAATTATGAATGCGCAAAACCTTGTTTGAAGTCTAACTGAAACTAATTCTACACAAAATGAGATTATTGCAGGGAGTAACTAAACAACTTGGTGGCCCTATGCATGAATTGGCTGCAAAAGTTGATGAGTATGCTCGTGGTATGATCAGTGGTTCTGGATCAACACTATTTGAAGAGCTTGGACTCTACTATATTGGTCCTGTTGATGGTCATAATATAGATGATCTTGTTGCCATTCTCAAAGAAGTTAAAAGTACTAAAACGAGTGGTCCTGTACTGATCCACGTGGTCACTGAGAAAGGCCGTGGATACCCATATGCAGAAAAAGCAGCAGACAAATACCATGGTAAAAAGTGGCTCACAAATTTCTTTTTATTTTCTGTTACATCAAATTATTGAATAAATCTATCATATATTCATATACTGGTCATTTAACCGTTTGAGTGAACCAAATACCTTACTCCTAGGTGTTGCATTTGTAACAACTGCACTTGTCATGTTGCATAATTACCGCCCATCACTATACTCAGAGAAGCAGAAAAAAAAATGAAGTAAAAATAATGGGTACCACAATTATTTCATGGAACGCATTATGTATTGGCTTACTAAATATATTACCCATGTCTGACTTGATTTATTTTTTTTTCTTTTTTGATTTTTTTTTCAGGAGTTACTAAGTTTGATCCAGCAACTGGTAGGCAATTTAAAGCCAAGGCTACTACACAGTCTTACACAACATACTTTGCAGAGGCTTTGATCGCAGAAGCAGAAGCTGACAAAGACATTGTTGCAATCCACGCTGCAATGGGAGGTGGAACTGGCATGAATCTCTTCCTTCGCCGTTTCCCAGCCAGGTGCTTTGATGTGGGGATTGCAGAACAGCATGCTGTTACTTTTGCTGCAGGTCTGGCTTGTGAAGGCCTCAAGCCTTTCTGTGCAATTTACTCATCATTCATGCAAAGGGCTTATGACCAGGTAGGATAACAAATTGTCAATTTCTTTTCTTTCTATAACTCTGTCTCCTTCATCGATTCTTGCAAATTATCTATTACTAAGTGTAAGGATGTGTTCCATTCCATATAGGTGGTACATGATGTAGATTTGCAGAAACTGCCTGTAAGATTTGCAATGGATAGAGCTGGACTAGTTGGAGCAGATGGTCCCACACATTGTGGTGCTTTTGATGTAACATTTATGGCCTGCCTCCCTAACATGGTGGTAATGGCCCCTTCAGATGAAGCTGAGCTTTTCCATATGGTTGCCACAGCTGCAGCCATTAATGATCGCCCTAGTTGCTTCCGATACCCAAGGGGAAATGGCATTGGTGTTGAACTACCACCAGGGAACAAAGGCGTTCCTTTGGAGGCAAGTTAGAATCTTGTCATTATTTCAGAACATTTGGAAGTTGTAATTAATGATTTTGCAAATCAACTTAGTGTTATGTGCTGATTCATTGACAGATTGGAAGAGGAAGGATACTGATTGAAGGGGAAAGAGTAGCCCTCCTGGGCTATGGAAGTGCTGTTCAGAACTGCTTAGCTGCTGCTTCCTTATTGGAATGCCATGGCTTGCGAGTAACAGTTGCAGATGCACGATTCTGCAAGCCATTGGATCACTCCCTTATCCGCAGCCTAGCGAAAACACATGAGGTTTTGATCACTGTGGAAGAAGGATCAATTGGAGGATTTGGTTCTCATGTTGCTCAGTTCATGGCCCTTGATGGTCTCCTTGATGGCAAATTGAAGGTGAAAATCCAAATGCTGTTTTAACACAACTCATAAAACTTGCATTTCTCTATTGCAGTGGAATAATATTGACATCTTCTAAAGTTTCTGTGAATAACATGTTTACTAGATGATGAAAACTTACATGAACTGTACGATATTTGTGCAGTGGAGGCCAATGGTTCTTCCTGATCAGTATATAGACCATGGATCTCCTTCTGACCAATTGGCTCTAGCTGGTCTTACACCATCTCACATAGCAGCAACAATATTCAATATACTTGGACAGACAAGAGAGGCACTAGAGGTCATGTCATAAAAGAAAATAGAGAGAGGGGTTCTTTTTTCTTTTTTCTTTTTAATAATTTTAGTTCTCACTCCCCCACAATGTAAAAAGCATAGTAATATGGTTACCTTGTGTAAGAACTGAAGTAATGTGACTTGTGCAAATTGAAATGGAGGTTGTCCTTAGCAATACCAGGTTGTTGCAAAAGTGACAAAACCCAGTTTTTCTGGGGAAAAATTAGCACTTGAACAATACAGTAGCCCGGGAGAGTCAAATTAGATTGAGATCAAACGGTCCGAAAATTTAAAGCTTTACACACACACATATTACAGACAGATATCAATGTACACAATAAAATATCCAGAAAGTCACAGAAGTTTTTTTTTTTTTTGGGTGTTTTATCACGTATTCAAGCCTTGTGTTGTATGATTAGAGTTCACGTTTCAGGTGTATCAGCATTATCCACAAACATGACCTCCTCTGACTTTCTTAGTAAATGCATAGGCCTAATCTTCATGTTTAATGATGGATTGTGTATGGCATGAAAATAAATAAAAATCACGTAATTTTATCAAGATTCAAGGGATGTTCATATAATTTATTCTTTTCTTTTCAAGTGAGGTGTAAATTTTTAAAATTAAATAAAACATGCCAATAAAATTAAAAATTTATATGAACTTTAAAAATTAAAAAGGGATAATAATCATTTGGTCTATATATTGTTTATTATATTACTCCCTTTGTTTAAAAATTTAAGGCATTTTTTGAGAAGTTGGGTGTTGAAAAATATGAGGCATTTTTAATCTTTTAAGGTGTAACTATTGTCTTTTTTTTAAAAGTGTCCTTAATGATGAATGACTTTATATTTATTGTAAAGTATTTCATAGGAGTAAATATAGAAAGATAGAGTTAGTTAGAAAGTAAGTAACTACTTTATTGGGAGGTGAGATTTGATTAAAAATGCTTTACATTTTTCAAAAGAGAGAGTATAACTTATTCAGATTTAGAAGTCAATACAATTCGTTTCCCATAGATTTACTCAATTCAAACTTAAGTTTTAACTCAATGCAACTCACTCCTTAAAATTTTAGTCATTTAAAATTGTTAAGTTTTAATAGTAGGAGCCAACATTTTAAATAGATAAAATTATAAGGACTTGGTTGCAGGAGCCAAAATTTAAAAACTAAATCAAAACTATGTGGATTGAATTATATTCAATCAAAAATTAGGCACTAAATTTTAACGCCATTAAAATTATTAAGAACAAATGATTAATTTTTTCAAATAAAAAAGTATACATCATCAATTTTTTTAAAGCTATGAGTTACGTTATTCTGAAATCATGGGTAGTGAATTCTATGCAAATGTAGAGGGCAATCAGAAGATTTTTTTTTTTTTTTTAAAAAAATTGGAAGGATGGTCCCAAATTTCAAGTGTTCTCACAAATAATTTAGGAATGTCCTGTATTGTGGGAGTTGACAAGTGAACAAGTATGTGCCACAGAATAAGGAAGAGACCAGAAAGTCAAAAATTCAAAATTCAAGTGAGATTGTGGCCAAACACATTTTGTGCTTTCGTGCTTTCCTAATTTCAAGTGTCACTTCAAGTTGGAAAATACATTAAACAACTCAAGAAGAAATATAATGCTTCCAATTATTTAATATCAAGATAGACTAAAATATTTTATTCTGAGATTTCCACCGTTAGTGTATGATGATTGTTTTTTTTCCCCCCGTGAAAAGTGAGTGATGATTCTACATAGCAATTAGAATTAAAAATTATGGTTAATATTAATATACAGTGGAAGTGAGGATGAAGTTGGACCACTCATTGTCTTGGTTTGGGTCCAATCATACAAAACCGACCAAAACGAGTGGGTTTATCTTATCCTTGATTCCGATTTCCGAAAGGGTCAAAGCATTTTCAGTTTCAAACTTTTCGGTTAGCAATTGGTAAACGTCTTGTGAGAACATTTTACATTTGTTATTTGATGTGATGGTGTGAAAATGCTCCTCTTGATTGAGATCGCTGCATACTCCCACGTACTATGACAAATTAATTAGTAACTTCACGAAAGAATCTTCTAAGTATTTAATAAAATAAAAAAAGTTGAAATCAATTTGTCCCTTAATCTTGGCTAGGAGCATTTGTAATTATAAACTCATTTTTTTATACATTTTAATTTCTAAATATTTAAAATTGTACCAATCTCCTCTACAGCTAACTTTAACCATTAATTAATTAAAAAAATTTTAAAATTATAAATTTTATACTTTTGTATTTTTTTTAAATTTTTGGTCTTTTTCTATAATTCTTTTAATTATTTCAATAATTTTTTACTTTTTTAAAGTTTTCTAGTCAATTAACAACTTAATAACAAGGAAAGATTGTCATGATTTTAAACATTTACAAGTGAAAATATATAAAAAAAAAAAGAGTTCAAAATTTCAAATACTTCTAAGCCTACATTTTAAAAGCTGAATTGCTATTTTGAAAAATTAGGCCGTGGGAGAGAGGGAGACACCCACCAGAGAGAACCTTTTATAATATCAACTATGCCATTTAATAAAAATTAGGTTGATTTAGATTATTCAAATTTTATTATTTTTAGATTTTTCTTATCAAATTTATATTTAAAATAATAACAGACTTTTAGCCGTTAACTTATCAAATAATCATGATACAAATAAAAAATAAATAGGATCTCACATTAAATTTGAATGACTAAAAATGAAAAGCAGACAAATGTTCAAACATGCGTGGCCGAACTACAAACTAGATTACGCTGATATGATTAAAGTGCACATCTCGTCTGCGAAATCAAGTTCAATGTGAATGTAATATCAAAATCATCTCAACTTTATCGCAACGACGTAGACCAAACAACAGGAACAAAAGTGGCCGAAAGGGAGATGCATCTTCTACACAACTAAAAGTAAAACACGCGTGTAGAACAAAAATTGCAGGCACATCTATCCGTTATGAAAGATATAATACAAAAGACCTAAAAACTACAAAAAGATCACAAGGAAAACTCAGAAAAATTGGAACCAGACAGGGTTATTTACATTTATTCACAGCTCGGAATGTTCCACCATCTTTTAACCATATGGTGGACCGGGTTTTCTTCACATTGTCTGCAAAAAGACGATGCCTGCAACACACAAAAATGCTCATCACTATAACCCCACCAACCATATCTTCTAGTACGCTACCCTATTTCAATGCCATTGCAAAAACTGAAAACTCAGGTACACTATTTGTGTTTGTCATGAAGTCTTCTAATAAGACCATGAAGAAAACGGGTCAATTAAAGCCATTATCTAGGGATATAATTACATGAGATCACAGAAGAATAATTTACTTTGAAGAGACAAGTATGGCAAAAAAAAAAAAATGAAGACCAGAAGTCTATTGTCTATTCAAGGTAATGAAGATATCATTAGTGAGAGAAGAGAGAAAGAAAATCTAACCTTTCATACTCCAGCTTCTGAGTAACTATGCCATTTAATAATAGCTCTGAACTGTATATAGCTGTCCCTGCAGGTTATAAACATGGTGTCCTTTAGTAATGTGAACGTGATAAAACTTAAAGATGGGTGAGAGAAAATCCAAACCTTTTTCAAGAAAAGGCACGCATAAGGCATAATCATCTTCACATGAAAGGATCAGTAGATCATCCTGAATCTTATCATGTTGCAACGAAGATCTGCCAATTCTCTCTACAGCCTGAGGGCATGTTTACTAGTAATCAGCTTTTCAGAATCAATTATAAAAAATATATGCTGGGATGAATTACGCCAAATGGAGGTAACATGAGAAAATAACTTATTTCCACCACATGCACATAAAATACATTTTGGGGCTGAAAAAATTCAAAGAATTCTCCCTTTCATTTCCTTTTTAGGATTAAAGGTCATTTTTACCTCTCAACTTTATTTGAAGAGTGACTGGGCACCTTAAACTCAATTATGGGTCAATTCTGTCTCTTAACATTAAAAATTCCCTCCCTCATCACCCCGCTGTTAACTTGCCATTTTATTTACTGTTAGTAGGCCCCGCAATGCATTGTTTTTAATTTTTTTTATTATAAAATATTAGGTTAATCAAGGAAGCCACAAAAAATGAATCTGCTAATGAAGGTTGCAGATTTGGCTAGGAGGAAGAAACCTATAATATTTTACTTGGCTATATTATATGTGCCAATTGCCATTTAGCTAATAAGGCGGTGGATACCAAGGTTCCACAAGCAGTACTTCCTAATACTGTATTTGAAGTAGTTGTTCGAATTCCTTATGATATGCAAGTGAAACAACTTCTTGCTAATGGGAAAAAGGGGTCCTTGGGGTGATCTCATAGTCCCTAAGATGTGGAGACGATGGGGTAGATCCATGGATTTTCTTTCCCTTTGCTACATTATGCTCAAAGGGTTAAAGGGAGATAGTGCATTAAGCTATTCGCAAGGGCCAACTTGATTCTCTTCCCTAGGGATCCCAGATGAGGAAGTTTTGTTGTACAACCTATTTGGATTTCTTATCTCGAAACGTCAGTGAGCACCATGAACTCAAATATTTTATAATAAGAAAATATTTAAAAAATGTAATGTGAGGCCCACTAATGGTGAATGGACAATAAGTTAACGACAGGGTGACGAGAAAAAGAATATTTAACGTTGACGGCTAGAATTAACCCATAGTTGAGTTTAAGGTACTTAGTGACTTCCAACAAAATTGAGGGGCAAAAATGACCTTTAACCTCCCTTTTTTTTGTTGGGGGAGCCCCCAATTTCAGGATCAAAAATCATTAATCCACTCGAGATTGATTGAAAAAACTTTTCCATTTTGAGATATCCATCATACGAGAGCATATACGAGGAAATGTACAGAAGAGGGTTGCATACCTGGCCATGAACTGCCTTGACTAAATATGAAACAATCTCTTTACTAGGTTTAGTATTGGGGGTGATCAAAACTTTGCGACCCTATACACAGAATCATTCTTGATCATAAGCCAGATAGAAAATGAATGAGTTTGGGTTCACACAAAACACAAGTATATATATACCGCTAAAAGTGGATGTCGGGTTGCATGTGCCAATGATGCTGGCATACAGAAGCCAAACTCCTTTTCCTTTTTGGCATCCCTCAATATGTAATTTTTCTCATCAATTAAACAATTAGTTTGTCCACAGCTCTCAATCCATAAATGGGTAACCACTGGTTTGCCAGAAGCAATAGCTTCTAGCATATTCCTTGTACGCACAAATTTATCAGCAATGAAATGAGTTGCATCTAGAATGGAAGTTACCACAGAGACTCCAAGTCGTGCTAAAATCTGTAAAAGGGTCAACAATCAAGATATAAATAAAATCAGATTTTGGCTTGTCAACATCTGCTCATGAGATTTTAAGAAAAATCTGACATTACCTTCTTTTGATGCTTAATTATATCTTCATTCAAGTGTTGACTGTACAGAATTCGGACATTGGTGATATCCCTCCTCTTCCTTGAATCTTTAGATGGTGTAAATTCAAGTCCCGTAGCACTTAAGCTGCAGAGTTCTCTACGGAGTTCCCTATTGCATGACTGTTTGTAATAATTATCACCCATACAAACAGGTGATGCATCATTTACTGGAGTTCTACATTTATCTGGTGTTGTAGATGTCAAGTCAGATGACTTAAAACTCCCTCTTGGTGAATCATCTGCCCTCATTTTTCTCTTCCTTGCAGCTGACAGCCCAACATCTTCAGACTGCACAGACAAATTAGATGAACCAACCAATCTCTCCAATCCTTTGTCATGATTAGACAACTTCCTAAGAGATCTTCTCCTTGGATGGTCCAAGGTATCTCTTTTAGTGTCGTTATTAACAGCACTCAAACTCGTATTTTCATTGTCTTCAGAGTGATCAGAACAACTTGGTTTAAACTTGGGATCTAATGTCTTAGATGCCTGGAAGCCAGCACTACTATTTTTTCCCTCAAGGGAGTCAATCCTTCCATCCTCTTCTATATGACTTCTTGATGGTCTATCAGGCTTCAGTTGATTTGCAATCAAGGATCGTCTAGTTCTACGAGCGACCGGTGAAAAATGACAAGCTTGACTCTGAAAATGCCTTTTGCTGACCAAGCTTCCTCCGTTTTCTTCCTTACTGCCAGTGCAATCATGTAATTCATTACCCTTGTGTCTTTTTGAAGCCGTTGCTGACTTTCTTTGCCCAACAAGCTGAGAAGGAAATTTACTACGATTTTCACTAGCACCAGAGATTAGGTTGCCTTCCACATTTAACGTACTTCTCTTTGATCTTTTCATCAAATTGTTCCTTTTGCATTGCTTTCTGGCTTCTTCATTATGTGCTTTTAATAAATCTGATTTAACACATTTCTGAATCCCAACATTTTTTTCTGAACATTTCTTTGAAGCAATTGCCCTCATTGTACTTGGAAAAGTGTTATTGGGTTGATCTGCTAGATTACTTCCTGTGGCTTTATCAGTAACATGATTATCACTGCCCTCACAATTACCTAAGGCTTCCATTGCTTCAGCAGCCATTTGAGTATCTAAACCTACCTCTAACACTTCCTGTGCATCTGCTGCTGTAGCATTAGGCTCCAACTGTGCTCCTGAGTAATTGATGTTAAACAGTTCATCCAGGTCACCAATAAGATTTCTTTTTGATTCTTTAACTGCATCTTTGACAGTGTCATCCCTCACTTTAAGATTATGCAATATCAGTCTTGAATCAGATCGTACTTCCCTCATTCTTTTACTACAGGTACTTTGTCCCTCATCATCGTTGCCATCTGGTCTGCTAACTTCAATTTTCTTGATTGCTGGCAAGGATTTTCGCCTTGGCATTGCACCCTCCAAAAACTCATCCTTTCTCCTAAGAAATATATCTCCCCCACCATCATCCTCACGGCTGTCATCCCAGTCATAAACCCCAGTTTTTCCAGTAGTGCCACTACCATTGACTCTCTTGGCCAAACTTTGTTGCCCTTTTAAACTGGGAAGATTTTTTGAGCTTTCCTGAACATTCTTAATGAAGTTAGATTCTTGATCAAACTCCAGAACATCATTTTCTTTAAGTAACTTATCAACAACATCAAGAGCAGCTGCCTGTGTTAACTCTCCAGGTTCTTGAGAGTTAACATAGCTTAGTCCAGCCAACTCATCATCATAAATAGACAGCTTAGTCAAGCTTTCTTCTCCATTGACATCATTGTCATTATACGGACATACTTCCTTTTCAGCAGACAAATCATCATTGAATAGCTTTCTCACTACTGAGCTGGCAATTTTGGACTTATCTTTATGAAATACTCCATTTGCTTCACCTCTGTGTTCCCCATGATCATATTCCCTGGTTTTCTCTGTGTATCCAAGGAAAGGTTCCTCATTATTCTTTGCAGAAAGTGATTTCTGGGATTGACTCATACCCATGACAGCATTGGTCCCATCCTTGCTTTGTTTCAAATTCATAATGCGAGCAGCTTCACGCAAAGATTCAACACGGACAGAAGTAAACCGTGGAGGCATTGAACCTAAGAACCATGGAATAAAATTTTACAAAAAACAAATAGAAAGAGTGCGGAGAAGAAAAAATAAGTATATTTGTGTGATTGTTTTGAAGAATTATGGACTAGTTTATGAAATTATTCCAACCTCAATTTTTGCTTCATCCTCTAGGGAAAATGAAGATAACCACACATCAGTCAAGCATAAAACACCATTAGAAAATGATCAACAGGGATAATACTCTCCCATGAAAACAGTAAGAAACAAATGAAGAATAGAGATAACACAATCATCAAGTCAGTTGTAACTTGATAAAAATGAATAAGAAAATATGACCACTTCTCTTCCTCCTTTCCTTTTTGCAAAATGCTATTGGTGCACCACTACATTCATAGGATTGAACCCCCAAACTAAAATCCATAACAAAAAAAGTAGAATTCGTCTCAGGATTTAACATAAACACTATTTTAGGCTCAAATTACATGCAGCCAAACAGCTAATGAAGGAATCACCTGAACTGATCTGTTGATTGATTACAGAATCAGTCTTCTCCAATAGTTTCTTCTCACCAGGTCTACTAAGAGGTTCACATGAAATCTGCCTGGGATCTGCTGATTGCGCCCCAACTATGCATTGACAATGATCAGAATAGGGTTCATTCACATTCTCCAAAATGTCAATTCCATCTGTTCTGTCAGTATGACTGTCAATGGCAACTTCTTGATCAATCATATCCAATAACTGGGCGTTATTATCCTCCCCACCATGAATATCATCCAAAACTTGTGTTTCACCAGCAATACTCAAGACTTGAGTCTCACCAGCAAGATTTACAGGCTGGGTTTCAAATGCATCATAATCAACTGGAGCGTCATCATCCAAAGGAACTATGTTTTCAAGATACTGCCAATCGTTATCCATCCCAATATCATCTTTTCCACCTAACATTTCAATAGTTAAACAAACCCGTTAAGAAATTAGTCGAATTTGACAAAACTACAAACTTCTCTCAATCATTAATCAGTGAGTCGTGACACGGCATTACAGCAAAAATGAGACACATTGGAACAGACAGACACTGAGGAGCTTGACATGAAACAATCAAATCATTAGAAGGCCTCAAAACCGTGATAAAAAACAACCAATACCACTACGTCTTAAGTAAAGGAACCATTTCATCAGGAAAAGAACACAACTTCAATAGAACCCCAACCATAGAATGGAAGATTATAGATAAAGTGAAAGACTGAAGACTGGAAATTGGAAAACACTCACCGGAGAACGAAGACGGCGATAATTGACTGTCAAGAGGCACAGTATCATCAAAATTAACATCTACAACTTCATCCATGTCGATTGACGTGGTTATACTATCAGTATCACCACTGCCACAAGAACCCATTCAGATTTATTGGCGGATAAATGCACGCATGTGACAGCAGTAACCCTAACAAAGAAGTGAACCTTGTTCAAGTGAATGATCTCAAAAGCACATAATCAAGAATCTGAGATGACAGAGGAGTTAGGGTAATCCAGGACAGCGCAGAAGGCACAGAATGATCGTGGCGAGGCGAGAGGGCGCGTGGACTTCGGAGCCAAAACGTGGGTTACCTGCCACACCCGGTGCCTCTTTTTTGGAGGGAAAATTGATGCTTCCGTCACTAGTTTCGTACGAAATTCTACCACAAATTCATTATTAAAAAAAAAAAAAAAAACTATAACACATCACATGTATATATGAATGCTCCTATGCTGTACTCACGACTTTTATTGGATACTTCCTTTTTTGTTTTAACTATAATTATTAATATTAATTAGCTGACGATTAGAATAAGTTCTGCCTTCGACGACTGTTGATTTCCTGCATTAGCATTTTATAACTTAATTAGAATGAAAAAAATTAAAAGCACATTTAGAAGAAAAAATTAAAGAATGGAGGGGGCATTCCGAGAATCGAACTCGGGACCTCTCGCACCCAAAGCGAGAATCATACCACTAGACCAAATGCCCACTCTGACACGTTTTCGAAGACATTTAATTCTACACTGTACCAAAAACTGTACATTTCTTTTTTCATTGAATAATAAATAAAAATACTCATTCGTCTCTTAAATGTGAAAATGATCCGATTTTAAAGGTTCTCCTGCGATCTGTCAAAATATGAATATCAAGCTCAGCAATATGTTAATTTTCTTTGGGCCAGAACAATGTTAATTCAGAATTTAATTTAATGCTATTAAACAACTAAATAACATATTTAATGATACATTATTAAAATTTATTTTATATGAATTGCGAAGCAAACGATTAAAATGACATTTCAGGAAAAAACAAATAATTATTCTAAAAATGAAGAGATCAAATTAAAATTTTAGAAGGATATTATATATTAATTATTTTTATATTACTTTTATGCATCATATAAATATAAATTATTCTCTTGTAGAACTCCATAGTATCACAACCTTTTTTCACGTTCAACAGACTAAAAATGTAATTTTGAGCAGGAAAAAACGGTAATTCATGGTTGTATAATAATTCAACTGCATTAATAATAATTAAGTGGAAGAAATTTTATGGCCCATTTGTTGAATACTAAAAAATAAGTAATTTTTAGGTAGTTTAAAAATTTTATAAAAAAATATTTATTTTATAAAGATTTTATAAAAAGCAGGTATTGTCTTATATTTAGTTGTAATGATAAAAAATTAATTATTAATTAGTTATTTTAAATTTTATAATACCTTTCTTAAATTTTATTTTATAAAATAATTTATTATTATATTATTTTAAAATTTTATGATATCTTCACATATCCCACCTTTTTAAAACACTTTATTTCATCTACCACCTTAAATTATTTTGAGAAGTTACTCAAAATAGTTTTTTAAAATAATCAAAAAAATTTTCAAACTCTAATTATTTTCAAAATTTTAAACAAACAGTATAAAAACTCACAAAATAAATATTTTAAAAAAATAAGTAATTTTTTTATTAAATAAGTTAAAACAAACGGGCCCTTAGTATCTCTTAGATAAGATTAATGTTTGGATTATGAATAGACGAGATCATGTTAGAAAAATTACTCCCCTTTAAATCAGCCCACTAGTGTGATATCATATGTTAAAATCATGTTAGAAAGATTACACTAGTGTGATACCATATGGTTTTACTATAAGAAAAACAAAAAAACAAAAAAATTCTACTGCCTTCAAAAGGTGAAATTTCACCATCTTGGTGGAATGTCACGCAAACAATACACATAGAATGTAATGAATTCTTTGATTCTTAATATAAAACACTTGATAAATTATTAATCATACTTTTTAATATTACCCTTATTAAAATTATTAATTATGAGAGAGAATTTGAAATAAATCTGAAAATTTTTCATTTAATAAGAAAAAAATTGAAAGCTTATTTTATTTTCAAACAAAATTAATAATTTAACCATCTCTTCAGCTCTCATTTGTTCGGTGAAGCAATTAGATATGCTTTATAATAAAAAATAGGAGAGGAATGTTGTTAATCTCTACTGCTGCAGACAACTTAAATTTTGATGTATTTGCCAGCCATGTGTAAGTTGATGCAGTTGTATTTGTCCTCAAATAACAAATATGTAATACTGACATTTACATGCTTATGTTGGATAATTATCCAAGACAAAGTGTCTTCCTGAATAATAGGATGACAAAGATAATGTCATTTTGATTATTATCTAATGTCGCTACACACACCACTAATAATCTCATTTTACTCTTAGGTCATGTTTGGTACAATGAAATGAGGGGCAATGGAATGGGAATGGGAGTAGAAATGGCTCATCATTTTGTTTGGTGCATGAAAAAGTCCATTCCAATGGAGTGACCTATTACCTCATTTGAGATAATTTCCATTTCATTAATAGACCATGGGGATGAGTCCATTCCCAGGGGATGGATTTTTTTCAATACAAAATTTCCCTGTTTAAAATTTATATTGACACCAAATGTCCTTCTCCTCTCTTCTTTTCATCGCGATCTGAACTTCTTCACCACCTTCTTTATTGATGGTGTGAATGACTCGCCTCAACAAATGCAAATCGATGGCCTGAATACATCAATGGCGAACTGCTTGCCTCCTCACCATCGTACCCATTCATTAACAAACCTCCTCACATGTGCTTGGTTGCTCAATTGCTGTCGAATTTGCTCGCCTCCTTGCCTTCACATCTACTCGTTTGCTTGACGTCGAATCTTCTTGCTTGCTGCCGTTGCATCTGGTTTGAGATTGTTGATGATAAATGAACAATGCTACCAAGGTTTGGTTTTTTTCTAACTGAGAATGCTTTTGATTCAATTGTTTTATCTGGGTTTTGTTCTTCCTGCAATTCTGAAATAAATTAGATCTACCATGGGGCTGCTGTTACATCATCCAAATTTTGTGCTTGGTTTATCCTATGGAAGCTTGTCTTTATCCATTTCCGTGATGCTCCCTCTCTTGTCTTTGGTCAAAGTATTTAACTGGTAGCTCATGGATCGGGTTGTTGATAACTACACCCCACTTGCCAAAGCTTTGTTTTTCTTTTTGTTTCTCTGATATTGAATTCTTGAGTGTTGGTGAAAGTTTGATATGATTTGCAAGATTGTTGGTGAAGGCTTGGATTCTGAAAATTGTCACAATGATTTTTGAAAGTTGATAGATAGTTTGCCAGCATAATTATTCAACTACCCAGATGGTAGTTTAGTTTTAGTTTTTTTCCCCCCTAATTTTTTTGTTGGCAAGAGTAGTCTAGTTTTTTGTCATTATAATTACATGTGTTAAATATAAGTTATACTACCATTCCATTGTTTTAAAAAATCATTGCTATTCTCATTTCAATTCCTATTACCATTCTCATTCCTGTTCTACTCAAAATCATTCCAATGTACCAAATGAGGCATTGAGGCTTTCACATGTTTGCTATAAATCAGACACCAATGTTTAAGATTGCTTAGTACTACTTACATGGGAATGCTAAAACCCACCATGACAAACATCATTTTAAAACTTAATCTCACTATTAATACCATGCCCACTCCCATTCATAATCCTTTAAAATTCAATAACCTATACCAAACAGGCATTATTTACACTAGGGTTGCGTTTGGATAGATGAATATGGATTAAAAATTTAGATGTGAAATCTTACATTTGATATTCATAAATTCTAAATCTTTTGTTTGGATGATATAAAAAATTTCAAATTACAATATTTAAATCTTTGGTTTTAATTTCAAATAAAATTTTAAATTTCAAATTATATATTTAAATTTCAAGGCAACTCAAACGATGTCACTGATCTAGTTCAGCCCCGGTTGATAACGACATCCAGCCCTGATCATGGCTAGACATTTGGTCTTGATCAATGGCGGTGATCTAATCCCTATCAAAGACAGTGGTTTGATCTCAATTGTGGTTGTCCGTGCAATCCTAATTAAAGTCAACCATCTAATCCTGACTAGTGCCTATGGTCTAGTCCTTGTTAGCATTGGTCGTCAAGTCCCAACCGATGTTGGTAGTCCGGTCCTGATTAACAACAGCATGTAGGTCTCGATTGATGCCAGCATTCTGATTCTAATTGACGCTAGTAGTCCAATCTCAAGGGATGTCAACTGAAGGTAACAATGTCGAAGTCAAGAAGATAATGAAGTCGATGAATGAACATGAAGGAAGAGAGAAGGTTCTATTGAAATTTGAAATAATAGGAGTTTAAAAAAAAATTAAAATCTCAAAAGGATTGAGGTAGCATTTTGAATTGTCCAAATCCACATTGATTCAAATCCACATATTTTTAATTATCTAAATAATGAATTTGCCTTAAATTTAAATCCAAATTTACATGCATCCAAATATAGCATAGTATTATTCTCAAGGCAGCTCTCAATTGCCATGCCAACCGCAAGTGTCTTAAGCAGCATGAAAATCCTTTCCTATACTATAACATGGACATGCAAATCCTAAAGAGCATGAAATAACGATGTAACTTCAAATTCACACGGCAAAACAGGATTGGGACGGGTGCAGAAACTAAAAAGGCAGCAAAGATCCGGCAAAACAAATTTCCTTAAACAAAGCAGTTAGAGTAACAGCAAAATGATAACATTTCAAGTGTTGCCAGATAAAATTAAATACAGATTATACAGGGGCTACCACCGAATAGACAAATATATTTTATTAACCTGTCTAATTACAAAAAGTTGTTGGATCCAGGCATACCATGAGGTTTGAGATTTTGCTCGCTGCCCACAGTAAATCAGTCAATCAATCTACTGGGAAGTCCAAAAGTGGACCGGTACAGCCCCTGGATCAAGCTCCCAGAAGCCTTTCAGATTGCCATGCTCCTCTGTTAGTTTGAATTCTGGGATTTGGTGGGAGAACCTGAGCAACTGTGCCTGGGGTACTCTCATGGTGATGGCTGATCCTTCAAATGTTTTGGCCTTGAACACTGAATTATATCCACTAACAATCTCCAAGACTAAAACTTCAATCCAGGAGGCATTTTCTTCAATAATTTCCACTATGTCATACTCCCAGTTTACCAGATCGGAGCATTTGATTTTAGGTGTCCATTTCCTGTATAAAGCCCAAATTTCACCTTTCCTAGGAAAGACAGAATATTCATTGCTCCTTCTGTCAAAA